TTTAACAAAGGCTGCATCATCCAAAGAGTTGAATGCTTCTTAGAAATGTAAATTAAACTTTTATTTAAATCTTTTAAATTAACAAAACCAAAGCAACACTGCCAACTGATATCTCCTTAGATTCAGAAGAGGTATTTCAAATTTACTAAGTCTAAAACAAAAATCTAAATGCTATCCTCCATTAGTCTTCCCAGTCTCAGCAAATGGCCCTTCATTTACACAAACGCCCAAGTGAGGAAGCAGCCTGTACTTTTATTATCAACATCAAAACTATTAGAATGCCTTATTGACTCAATCATCGAAGTGTACCTGTTGCTGAACACTCAGCTAGGACACCTCATTTCTTAACTGGACTAACAATAGCCTTATAATTGGTCTCTCTGCCTCTTTCTCTACTCTCCTAAATTCCTGTTCAATATGGTATCCAGACAAAAATCTTAAATTGCACATGAGATTACATCACTCCTCTATTTGAAACTTTCCTATGGATTTCTATCATGCTTAGAATAAAATGAAAGGTCCTTATCACAGTTTGTAAGGCTCTGTAATTTGGCTTAATCTACTTCTGTGAATTCACCCTCCTACACTCTCAATTCATTTAATGTGTTCCTGCCTCCCTGGCTTTCTCCCTGTTCTCCAAACTGCTCAATCCTGTCTTAGAGTCTTCACACTTAAGTGCTCTCCTCCCGGAATGCTCATCCCCTTCAGCATCATTATAAATCCCTTGTCTTTCATGTCTTAGCTCCTATTTCCCCTCCTCAAGACAGCCTTATGAGATTGCCTATCTAAAGAGTCCTCTCGATCATTTATTATGTTATTATCCTGTTTTATTTTTTTCAAGCTCTAAGCAATGGCTGAAACTTATGTCTAGAATAAAAACATACAAAGTGTGAAACAGATGGCTTGACTTTATCTACTTTGTATTGAAGGAGGAAAGGTTATCCCATTATATTTTGGGTCTTGACCTGCTTTCCCTTTCATGATTAGGGAGTCAAGAATAGGGTGCAGATCTAGAGATACCTCAAGTTGAGGGAAAAAACCTCATCCAATTTCACACGTGATCAAGACTAACTTAATAGGGTATAAGAAGCTAGAGGGATGTGCAACCAAGTCCTAACTGACAAATGAGTGTGTGTGTGTTGACTGGGTGATACATATGCCCAGGGAATCTACTGGGGTAGGCAAGAGCTGCAGCAGGCATCCTCTTCTCTGCACCCTGAATAAGTGACAAGAACGTGAACCTCACAATGCAAATTTAGCATCATTTCCTGTCTGCATGCCTGATCTGTAGACACTAATGTTACCACAGAGATTAAGTACGGGGCTAGCACATGTACTGATTTATAATGTGATTAACTGGTATTACTTTAAAATGGCTTTTCTGAGGTCAAGTATGATTTTAGTTATGAATAATAATAACTATATTTATAGGCTAACTAGAGGCCCGGTGCACAAAAATTTGTGCACTCGGGGGGGGGGGGGGGTCCCTCAGCCTGGCCTGTGCCCTCTCGCAGTCTGGGACCCCGCAGGGGATGACCACCTGCTGGCTTAGGCCCGCTCCCCGGGGGATTGGGCCTAAGATGGCAATCAGACATCCCTCTGGCAGCCCGGCAGCCCTCGGGGGATGTCCACTTGCCAGTGGGGAGCAAGCCTAAACTGCAGTTGGACATCCTTAGCACTGCTGAGGAGGCAGGAGAGGCTCCCACCACCACCGCTGTACTGGCAGCCATCAGCCTGGCTTGTGGCTGAGCAGAGCTCCTCCCATGTGAGAGCGCCCTGACCACCAGAGGGCAGCTCCTGGATCGAGCATCTGCCCCCTGGTGGTCAGTGTGTGTCACAGTGACCAGTCATTCCCAGTCCTTCTGCTGTTAGGGTCAGTTTGCATATTACCCTTTTACTATATAGGATAGAGACCTGGTGCACGGGTAGGGGCCAGCTGGTTTGCCCTGAATGGTGTCCTGGATCAGGGTGGGGTTCCGCTTGGGTGCCTGGCCAGCCTGGATGAGGGGATGATGACTGTTTGCAGCTGGTCACACCCCCTTCAGGGTGGGGGTCCCCACTGGGGTCCCTGGCCAGTCTGGGTGAGGGGCTGAGGGCCGTTTTCAGGCTGGTGGGTGACTGAAGCTCCCAACCTCTCCTTTTTTTCTTTTTTTTTATTCTGGGATTTATTTACCTTCTATGGCTGTCACTGGAACTGAGAGCCAGCTTTAGCTCTGAGGCTCGGCTCCAGCTCTGAGACCTCAGCTGCTGAAAGCAGGTATCTGGGTTTGTTTGGCTTCTATAATTGAAACACTGTTGCAGCTCCAGCTCTGAGGCCCGGCTGGCTGAAAGCAGGTTTCTGGAGTTTGTTTAGCTTCTATAATTGCAACATTGTTTCTTAGAGTGCAGCTCAGAGCTGGGCGGCAGCAAGTGGGGAACCTTGGCTTCCTCCATCACTGGAGGAAGCCTCTGGTTCGCTTCAGCTGCCTGGCTGCCAGCCGCCATCTTGGTTGGCAGTTAATTTGCATATCGCCCTAATTAGCCAATGGGAAGCGTGTCGGAGGTACGGTTAATTACCATGTTTGTCTATTATTAGATAGGATTATGATTACTTCTAAAATAAAAATGAATGCTCTTTACCTCTTTGGCATAAGATTGTATCACTCCAGCTGCTTCTATTTTTCTTTTGCATCTCTGTTTAACAGTCATACTATTATTATCCAAATCTTGCATGAGTTTAAAGAAAGCCAACTCATTAAACAACACTTCAGATATCTCTACAAGAAGATCCTCTCCACAGTCTTTCAGTTTTCTTCCAGCAAATTTTGCCAGTGAATCCTATTGAAATAACCAAATATTTTAAGTTTACAGTGAATGTCAACTGTGGATAAAGCAATACAAATCTAAATTATAATAGTCATCTAGTAAAAAAAAACAACCAATTTTATTAATTTTTAGTATTGAAAAAACCTCAACTCTATTCAAACTGAAATACACCATCAAATAAACAAGTCTGCTATATTTCAGACACTTCTTAATAAAACCACTTATCTTTTTCTTTCTTCCTAAAAATATGAACTATACTGTTTAGAAAACAGGCAAATAACTATGATATCTGGTGTCCCCTCCCTCCAAAAACTATCTTATCTAGTACAATAATGGAAAGAAGTACAAATAGTGGTACCTGTGGAAAAAAAATAATTGAACAGGTTTCATAAGAAAAAAGTAATTTAAGCTCTTGCTCATGAAAAACTTTCAATACTTTAAGCAAGATTTAATGTACACTACCCTTATTCTTCATGAGTCCCCTTGTGAAAAAAATAAATCAGGAGTAGGATAAAAGAAAAGCAGATTTTCTGAGATGTAGAAAAAAAAATCTTATTTCCAAATTTATACTTTGGGATTTTCCCAGGATTATGATTATAGTAGGCAAAATTGAGGCAGGACTACATGGATCTTGATAAACAAAAAGTATTTAAATTACTCTTTCAACCTGATTCTAAAAGGGAGTTATTTCTTCATGTAGAAATAAGCTAACTAAATTTATAAAAATACATTTATTTAAAAATTATCTTAAGCATTCTTAAACAATGGATAATACCACTGATGTCTTATATTCCTTATAAGTTATATGTTAGTTATATTAAATAGATCCAGGACAATTTAAAAACTACATATAATTTATACTTTAGTCCAAATAAAAACAAAATGGAAAATTATAGTGATGGAAATTTGCATCAAGCTTAGGGTTTTAAAAATTAGCAAAGTGCCCAGTGGTGTGGCTCAGAGGTTGAGTGTCAACCCATGATCCAAGAGGTCACAGGTTCAATTTCCAGTCAGGGAACATGCCCAGGTTGCAGGCCCGTTCCCCAGTAGAGGGTGCAGAAGGCAGCCAATCGATGGTCCTCGCTCATCAATGTTTCTCTCTCTCTCTCTCAAGAAAAAAAAACACTAAAACAAAAATATCAGAGCAATAATACTGTTTGTAAAATCAACTTAAACACAGGAATAGGAAGGAAAAATTATATAGAAAAATTTTGTAATAAACATTTTTAAAATGTATTTTCTAGTTTGGAATAACAATACACATCATAGAACTATCTCAGTGGGAAAATATACAGATGAATTTAATCATAGAGATTTTTATTATATGGAGTATGTAAGGTACCCTTACCTAACACAGGATTCTCTCAGCCTTAGCACTATTAACATCTCACTAGATGCTGGATGCCTCCCTGCCTGTTGTGACAAATAAAATGTCTACAAACATGGCTAAATGTCTCCTTGGAGGGAAAATGACCCCCGCCCCCTTGAGAATCACTACTGAACATAATTTAAGGTTACTATTACAGCCTAAGAAGTCTCCACAATCAACAGCTGGTTTCTAGCTTCAAAAATTTCAAAAATTATTTGAGAAAACAGGATAAAAATTTTTCAAACAGCCCTAGCCAGTTTGGCTCAGTGGATAGAGCATCGGCCTGCAGACTGAAGGGTCCTGGGTTTGATTCTGGTTAGGGCACATGCCCGAGTTGCAGGCTTGATTCCCACTGAGGAGCATGCAGGAGGCAGCCGATCAGTGATTCTCTCTCATTACTGATGTTTCTATTTCTCTTTCCTTCTCCCTTCCTCTTTTAAATCAATAAAAATATATACACATAAACAATTTTTTTTTCACAGTTCTAACTTGAAATTTCTTAGTAAGTAGAAAAAAAATCAAAACAAAATGTTATTAGAGTTGGGAGAGGCCCTAGAGATGATCAAATTAAACAAAGACACAATTTAATACAATTTTTTTAACCAGGTAAAGGAATAACCTAAAAAGTATTAAAATGTCACCACAAATAAATGCTAGATGGAGAGCTACTTAAATGTAGAATGCCTGAAATGGCAAAAAAAATCCTACTCAGGTGATACATATTTATGTCATACAAGTATAAACTCTTACCTGTAATATACTTCCAAGCTGTTTATGAAAGAACTTTACAAACTCTTTGCTCTCATCATTTTCCTGGGTCAGGGTCAACACCATGCGTCTTACTGAAGTCAGAAGCTGAGAAGAGCATACTTCATCCATGTGCTCCTGAGAAAAATCCTACCTGGTTAGGATATAAACTTACCTATCGCTCAAATAAAATCAATCCACATAATATGAGATTTTATTTTTCTTGCATAGATGCTTTTCAACTTTCAGATATACATTTGGAATAATTTATTCATAAGAATAGCCAACTCCCCAACCCCCCTCTATACACGTCAAGAGGTTTGCAAATTTTGATTCACCATACCAGATAATAGCCAGTAAAAGAAACTGGCTGATAAAAATCTTCTCATCACTTTTTTTCTGTACCTTAAGCAGAATTACTCATGCCATAGTTTCCACACTGTCTGTCTTCCTGTCTGCAGTTGAGTTCAACTACTCTTACAACCATCCTCAGGCTTTCTCAATTGGCACTACTGCATCTGATCTCTATGCACTAGATGCCAGTAGTACCCTCCACCCTCCCAAGCCCTGATAACTAAAAATGTAGCTAGACATTACTAAATTTTTTGAGGGTCAAAATGACCCCCAGTTGAGAACCACTGTCCTAACTTTTTTAACAGGCCACTTTGGCCTTCAAGAGAATTCACCACTAGACCCAGTACAGAGTCTCTTTTCCTTGATCTTGCTTTAGAAGCATGTTCAAACTTGCTACAATCCAAATGATGGGTTAGCTTTCCATTGTCACTGTCTTACACATTGAAAAGTACAAGTAGATTGTAAGAAATGAGCCCAATTACAACATATTTTGTAGTTTGCTGTATCTGAATGAAAAGAAAAGACTGGCTTTTCATTTCTAATTTTTTAAATTTCCATTTAAATTAGAATGTAAAATAGTGCTATCCCTGGTATAAGTCTTGCCTTCACTTTCCATTTCTCTCTTTTCTTTCTTATTGAATTTAGAGAGAGGAAGGGAGAGGGAGAGAGAGATTTTCCCCCTTATTTATGCATTCATTGGTTACTTTTTTTTCTTCTTTTTAAAAAACACTTTATTAAGGTATGACTGACATAAAATGTGTACATTGAGTTTGAATATCATTTTCATTCTTTTTTTTTAATATATATATATTTTTTTTTACAGAGAGGAAGGGAGAGAGATAGAGAGTTAGAAACATCGATCAGCTGCCTCCTGCACATCTCCCACCGAGGATGTGCCCGCAACCCAGGCACACGCCCCTGACCGGAATCGAACCCGGGACCCCTCAGTCCGCAGGCCGACGCTCTATCCACTGAGCCAAACCGGCTTCGGCATCATTTTCATTCTTGCCATCCTTGTTACTATCTTGGTCTATTCGTTCCTTGAAATGTTGTCTGACATAGTTAAGGATATAGCTGGAAAAATTGGCTAAGAAAGTGAATAAACTGGAGGAGTGTTGATTGAAAAACAAAACAAGCAGATCATTCCTTGAAAGTAGCTGTATTTTTGTTAACCTAGATCAGTGGTTCTCAAAGTGTGGGAACGTTCTAGAACTGCAAATGTTTTGTTTGGATCAACGTACTGGTTATTTTTAAAAATCTGTGTCAGATTTTTAAACTTTCTTGTTTTAGCAGATATTTTCAAACTTGTCTTTTATCTCTTTGAAAATACTGAGAGCCCTGGCCAGATAGCTCAGTTGGTTAGAGCATTATCCCAAGATGCCAAGGTTGTGGGTTTGATCCCTAGTCAGGGCACATACAAGAAGCAACCAATCCTCCTATATAATAAAGGGGTAATATGCAAATTGACTCTCACACCCTCACACAAGATGGCCGCCCCCATGTGGTCACAAGATGGCCTGCAGGGGAGGGCAGTTAGGGGCGACCAGGCCGGCAGGGGAGGGCAGTTGGGGGCAACTGAACCAGCAGGGGAGGGCAGTTGGGGGCGATTGGACCAGCAGGGGAGCAGTTAGGCGTCAATCAGGCTGGCAGGGGAGTGGTTAGGGGTGATCAGTCTGGCAGGCAGAAGCAGTTAGGGGCAATCAGGCAGGCAGGCAGGTGAGCAGTTGGGAGCCAGCAGTCCCGGAATGTGAGAGGGTGCAGGGTGGCTCAGTGCACAAATTTCGTGCACTGGGCCTCTAGTAAATACATAAATAAGTGGAAGAACAAATTGCTGTTTCTTTATCTCTCCTCTCTAAAGTCAGTAAATCAATAAATAAAAATGTAATCAACTTCTAAAAAATTGCTATTTTATACTCTTTCTCTGATAATTCCAGTATCTGAAGTGTTTGTGTCATTATTTATTGTCTATTATTTCTGCATGTTCTTTTCAGGATGTCTCCTTGTATATCTGCTATCTTTGAAAATGTGCTGGAAGTTACCAGAAAAAGGGTACGTGTGCGTGAATACTTTGATGTCTGAGATATTACGTTTCTCAAAAGATTATATTCATTTGCTTTTGTCAGTCACCTGGGCACACCACCAACCTGATCAATATTGTAGATTTTGAAGGCTGAGGTTCCCTATACCTCCAAGACGAGCTGAATCTGAGAGACATATTCATCTCCAGTTCAACATTTTCTTGAAGGTGGTTTCATTTGGGGTTCCAGTTCAAATGTGGGGTGATTATTCAGAATCCCAGCTTTCAGCACTTTTACACTTGTACCCTTATACTGCATGTCCACCGACCTCACAGCTGAGATTCACAGGGGTCTCCTTCCAGCAACAAATGGCTTCAGGCGAAGGCAGCCCTGAGTGTTGGAATTACAAACTATCTCTTGCTTCTCTAGAGTTTGATCCCTAATTCTTCACTCCTGTTAGCTCTTTGGAATGCTTTTCTTTTCTCAACATTCCATCCAGCTTACGTTTTCTATGGAAGAGTTGGTCCTAATTCCCTAGGCCACCATTACCGGAATTGTAACCCTTCACTTAAGCTTTATTATCCTCCCTCCAGTCGTCCTGCACAGGTCCTTCCTATCCCGGGGAAGGGAACAGAAGGGAAAAAAGACAAAGAAGAGATGGTGTCTGTTTTTATGACTTTGTTTTAGGGGAGTAGAAACTTACACTTCCTCAGGAAAAGCTACACCTTTTCAGAGTGAGGAGATATGGTCACCTAGAGTTTCTCCACTTACCTAATTTCATATGCTCAACTTATCCCCATTTTGTCCAGTGGGTCACGCAATAGGAGATGACAGTGTCCAGCCACTGGGCAGAGTGACAAAAGAGGGGATGGGTTGACCTGAGGTGTTCTGCTATGGGGCACAAGTGGCTGCTGGCGGCCACTGGACTGCCTGGCACCGGCAGCAGGATGCTCCCTTTTCCCAAAGATATGAATTAGGAGCTGCCCTGACCATCCAGTCTAAAATAGACACTATCATATCATATTTTAATTCTCTGCATGGCACATATCACTATCTGATATACATTTACTTATTTTAAAATAAGTAACATCCTTGCACATGAGCACCATGACAGCAAAGGCTTTGACTTGTTCACTGCCATGTCCACAAAACCTGGCTTAAAGTAGGCACTTTTGAATAAATAATGAAAGAATATTGTGTAACCATAAAAATATGCTGTAGAAAGATGTTTATAGTATATGAAAAAAGCAGAATGCACATATATATGCAGAAAATATTACAGAAAGGGGAAACTAAAGGGGAATGATTTGTTCAGGGAGTGATTTGGTCAGAAAGGTTGGAGAGGGTGCAGGCCGGGCTGAGGAACACCCCCTCCCCCGTGCATGAATTTCATGCACCGGGCCACTAGTATATATATAAAAGCCTAAGCAACTGTTTGACCAGTAGCTATGACATGCACTCTCCACCAGGGGGCAGATGCTCAACGCACAGGCATGGAAACATGAAACAGACTGATGAATGTCAGAGGGAAGGGGGAAGAGGGGAGGGTGGGAAGAGATTAACCAAAGATCTTATATGCATACTAAGGCCCGGTGCATAGATTCGTGGGGTCCCTCAGCCTGGCCTGAGGGGATCAGGCCGAAACCAGTGGTCTGACATCCCCGAGGGGTTCCGGATTATGAGAGGGCGCAGGCCAGGCCAAGGGACCCCACCAGTACACAAATCTGTGCACTGGGCCTCTAGTTTAATATAATGTCTGAAAAGTCTTGAAAATATTCATAACCTTAGAATAAGAAATTTTGTGTAAGAATTACTTCTCAAGAAATAAAAATGGGATATAGTAGGTGTACTGGTTAATAATGCGGATTTTGTAATCAAAGAAAACACAGTAATTTCAAGAGAAACATCCAAAGTGCATTATCCAAAGTAATGTCCATCAGTAGCTACACATTTCCCTCATCTTTCAGGTAATTTATGGATACGGTTCCAATAGAACTTTTCTTGTTTTGATGCAAACAATTCAGAGACCCAATTTTCCATTTCTTCGTCCGTTTTGAAGTGCTGCTCAGAAAGTGCACGTGCCATCGATTGGTAATCTGAAGGAGCAAGATCTGGTGAATACAATGGGTGGGTTAATACTTCCCAGGCAAGATCTTTTAACATGTCTTTAACTGGTTTTGAAGTGTGTGATGGTGCGTCATCATGAAGCAAAATTACTTTGCCGTGTCTTCTGGCACAGTCTGGTCATTTCACGATCAAAGCGTGGTTCAAATTGATTATTTGTTGTCGGTAGCGATCAGTATTAATGGTTTCACATGGTTTTAGAAGCATATAATACACCACACCCTTCTGATCTCACCAAACGCAGAGCATTCTTCTTTCTGAAGCAATTTGGCCTTGCAGTCGATGTTGATGGTTGAACTGGATCAACTATTGATTTTGTGCGCTTGGGATCTCAAGATAAATCCACTTTTCATCGCCAGTCACAATTGGATGCAAAAAAAGACTTTCTTGCGTGTTGAAGCAACATTTTACTGATGACTTTTTCATTTTCCTTTTGTCTTTCGTTCAGTTGATGTGGCACCCATTTTCCTTCCTTTAAAATCTTTCCCATTGCTTATAAACGATCAGAAATTGTTTACTGAGCAACATTTAATCTTTCTGAAAGTTGTTTTTGAGTTTGACACGCATCTTTTCCAATAATGCTTGTAACTGTTGGTCTTCAAACTTTTTCGGTTGACCTGGACGTTCTTTGTCTTTCACATCAAAATCATCACTTTTAAAGCATTTAAATCAGCGTTCACAAGTATCTTGAAATGGAGCATGTTCACCATAAGTTTCCCGAAGCATATGATATCTTTCAGCAGCACTTTTCTTCAAAATAAAGTAATGAATTAAAACTTCCCTCAAATGTTTTTTTGCACGAAATTCAACATTTCTAAGTGTAAAAATATCTATGATGTTAACACCTTCAGAAAATTTGACATATGAAGTTTTGAAGCTTGCTGTCAATATAACAAAATAGCATACATATCAAATCGTATATCAACATATGTATAACTCCATCTATTAAAAAAAATCCGCATTATTAACCAGTACACCTGGCATATTTAAATTTAGCTAAGTCATTTATGTATTTATAAAAGTAAAAAAAAGGATAAACATAAATATTTAACAATAAGAACTGATAAAATAATAGAAAATTCTATTCTATGAATACTCAACCCTCAGAGTAGCAATCAATATAGCTCACTACTGACAGTCCTATTTGGCAAACTCTGGTTTTTCCTTTTTTGCACACCTTCTAAATGTTGAATCATCTTGTCCTAGGCCACAGTTCTAGCCCCTTTCTCTTAGCTAGTGCCTGCTTTAGGTAACCACCTACCATTAATAGGACTTGTTAGTTTCCAAAGTATATTTCAATTGTCTACTTCTCCCCATCTCTAGTACTACACCCTTGGCCTAAGCCACTATTATGTCTCATCTGAGTTCATTGCGCTACTGACCCCTATAATCAATTATCCACAAACAAACCAGACTTTGTTTTTCTCTCCTGGAGTTTCCTCTTTAACTCTGAACAAAGTCCTAACTCCTGATCATGGCCTATAATGTTCTACATAACTGGCCCTTGCCCCCGCTCCAATTTCATTTCTCACAAATTTCCTACAACTACATGGTCCTCCTCTAGTTCCTTAAACAAGCCAAGCTAGTTCCTATCTTAAGGCCTTTAACTCTGTCTGGAACGATCTTGGTTTAAGCTGGCTCCTAATTCATATCTTTGCTTAAATTCTCCCTTTTCCCAAAGATATGAATTAGGAGCTGCCCTGACCATCCAGTCTAAAATAGACACTATCATATCATATTTTAATTCTCTGCATGGCACATATCACTATCTGATATACATTTACTTATTTTAAAATAAGTAACATCCATGCACGTGAGCAACATGACAGCAAAGGCTTTGACTTGTTCACTGCCATGTCCACAAAACCTGGCTTAAAGTAGGCACTTTTGAATAAATAATGAAAGAATATTGTGTAACCATAAAAATATGCTGTAGAAAGATGTTTATAGTATATGAAAAAAGCAGAATGCACATATATATGCAGAAAATATTACGGAAAGGGGAAACTAAAGGGGAATGATTTGTTCAGGGAATGATTTGGTCAGAAAGGTTCCCAAAATGTTGATGGGGCTATCTCTGAGTGACAAAGCTACAGGTTATTTTTAGCTTTTCTTTTGTTTGTGTTTTCTGAATTTATTACAATGGAATACTTTGTATGAATTAAAAAACAAACCGAAGTTTATTTTTAAAAATTATTGCTTACCTTCAGAAATGGAATGACTTCTTTCATAATTGCTTTGATTTGTCGGTCTAGCTGCTGAGTATCAATTCTAGGACACGGGACCGTAGAAATCTCACTTACAGGTTGTTGTGAACTATGATTTTCACTAATAGGAGTTTCTATTTTTAAAAAGAAAATGATAGCAAAATGAAGTTTGACATTATATGTGTTTACGCAAAATTCTACAGAACATTCAATTATAATTTAATGCCAAAATAATACAAAGAAACATCTATGTAATTTTAGCACCCCTAATAAAAGTGATTAAAAAGCCACTATTATACATCAGATGGGGCATTTAATTTTTATATATGGAACTATATAAAATGACTTTTCCTGCTAATGAATTCAACAACACACCTTTCAAATTATTAGCAGTAGTCATGGCAGCAGCACCGTTTTCATCCTCCATAGTCCTGCAGGTACTTCTTGTGTTTGTGTTACTTTCAGCTTCAGTTTTCATACGTTCGTACTCCCTCATTCTGGCTAATGCTTGATCTAAGTGAATCACAGTGTTACCTGCATATGGAACAGAAATATGGCTAGAAGATGTAAAAGAAAATTGTTTCATGTATTCCTCTAAATTTATTAATAAAAAACTAATGTCTGAACATAGGAAAGGAAAACTAGCTTTAACAAGTTATAGGTATGGTACTTTTACTTAATCCTTAAAATAACTATAAAG